AATGAAGCTGAAAAATTCCTATCGCACTGTAACCATGGCAACTTAGTAGTGCAATGCACTACTCAGTTGTTTGTGATGAGTACACAAGCAAATATACTGTGCTGTTAGTCACTAAAAGTATAGCACATACAATTATGTATGCTACATAATACTTGATAATAAACAACTAAGCTACCAGCTTATATATATTTACTATACTGTATTTTTTATTGTTACTTTAGAATATCCTCCTACTTTCTCTCTCTTTTTTTTTTTGTAGACACAGGGTCTCGCTATGTTGTCCAAGCTGGTTTCAAACTCCTAGTCTCAGCAATCCTACCATCTCAGCCTCCCAAATAGCCAAGAATACATGCATGAGCCCTGGGCAGGGCTCCTACTTATTTAAAAAAAAAAAAAAAAGTTGGGCCAGGCACAGTGGCTCATGCCTGTAATCCAGCACTTTGGTAGGCCAAGGCAGGAGGTCAGGAGTTCAAGGCCAGCATGGGCAATATAGCAAGACCCCAACTCTACAAACAAAAAATTAGGTGGGCATAGTGGCATACAAGTATGATCCCAGTTACTCGGGAAGCTAAGGCAGGAGGAAGGCTTGAGACCAGGAATTAGAGACTGCAGTGAGTTATGATCATGCCACAGAACTCCAGCCTGAGCAACACAGCAAGATTCTGTGCCTCAAAGAAAAAGAAGGCCAGATGCAGTGGCTCACACCTGTAATCCCAGCACTTGGGAAGCCAATGAAAGACAACTGCCTGAGCCCAGGAGGTTGAGACCAGCCTGGGCAGCATGGCGAGACCTCGTCTCTATAATAAATCAAAAAATTAGCCAGGCAAGGTGGCGCATGCCTGTAATCTCAGCCACCTGGAAGGCTGAGGTGGAAGGATCGCCTCACCCTGGCAGGTCAAGGCTGCAATAGCCATGACCACTGCATTCCATCATGGACAACAGAGTGAGACTCCAACTCAAAAAAAAGTTAGTTGTAAAATAGCCTCAGGCAGGTCCTTCAGGAGGTATTCCAGAAGAAGGAATTGTTATCATAGGAGATGTCAGTGTTATTCGCCTTAAACCGACATGGAGGTAGAAGATAGTGATACTGATAATCCTGATGCTGTGTAGGCCTAGGTTAATGTATGTGTTTGCATCCTTGTTTTTTAAACAAAAAGTTTAAAAAGCAAAAAAAAAAAAAACCAGAAAATATTAGTCAGGTGTGGTGGCACACACCTGTCGGTCTAGCTACTGAGGAGGCTGAGGTGGGAGGATTCCTTGAGTTCAGGAGTTGAAGACTAGCCCAGATAACATATCGAGACATCATGTCTAAAAAATAGTAATAATTTCGGAACCCGCCTGGGCAGGCGAGACCTCATTTCTACAATGGATCAAAAAATTAGCCGGGCGTGGTAGCGCACACCTGTAATTCCGGCTACTCGGAAGGCTGAGGTGGAAGGATCGCCGGAGCCCAACAGGTCGATCCTTCCAACAGGTCGAGGCTGCGGTGGCCAGGAGCAGCCACTGCACTCCAGTCTGGGCAACAGAGTGAGATTCCAACTCAAAAAAAAAAAAAAATTGTAATAATACAGTAAGATAACCAATGATTTCTGTGATTTTTGATGAGAGAAAAAACAGAAAATATTTTGTCAAGAGCAGTACAATGTGTGTTTTAAGCTTAAGTATATTACAAGAGACAAAAAGTCTTTAAAAATTTATTATTTATTTTTTTTTGAGTTGGAGCCTCACTCTGTCGCACAGACTGGAGTACAGTGGCCACTCCCGGCCATCACAGCCTCGACCTGCTGGGCTCCGGCAATCCTTCCGCCTCACCCTTCCAAGTAGCCCGAACTACAGGCGCGCGCTACCACACCCGAATAATTTTTTTATTTATTGTAGAGATGAGGTCTCACCAAGTTGCCCAGGCGGGTCTTGAACCCACGGGCTCAGGCAATCCACTCACCTCAGCCTCCCAGGGCACAGGATTACAGGCTGAGCACCGAGCCCAGCATGGACACTTCTTGACTTTGGTCAATTAAATTTATAAGTAAAGGGTTCTACACATTACTACTGTATTTTATGGTAAAAAATATTCTGTAAACTAGTAGTCTGTCTTGACTGAAGCCATTAGTGCCCATTAAATAATAAAATTGGGTTGAATGTTCTATTAGGTTTGAATTTTACATCCCAACAATGTGTGGCAGCTAATACTTCCAGTCTTTGGCACATCTATTGAGAACATAAAAGTTCTCCTGGAACGAACAAATTACTTCCCTTCCAACACAATTATATAATCTGAGGGCTGAACAGCACCCTAGAGATTATTCTGTGATCCAAAAATCTCTCCCAATTAAGGGATCTCATCTAAAACTACTCAACTTGTTGGGCAGGGAGAGATACTAATCTTTGAATCCCACATGACAGAGTGCTGCACCCATAGTAGGCTCTTTAATACATTCTTGTTTAATTGAACTGAACGAGTCTAAAATGGGCCCATTTCATTAATTTTCTTGTTCTTCCCAGGCTTTAGCTGTAACACCCACTGAATCTGTAATTAAAGATTTGCATGATTATTCTGCTTATTAACCAATGTTCAAAAGAAATTCAATAAAGGAAAGGCCACAGTCAGTCAAATGTTTTAATCCATTAAAGAAGCTTCTTTTAAACCGGGCTCGGTGGCTCAGCCTGTAATCCCGTGCCTTTGGGAGGCTGAGGTGAGTGAATTGCCTGAGCCCGCGGGTTCGAGACCCGCCTGGGCAGCGAGACCTCATCTCTACAATAAATCAAAATGAGCCGGGCGTGGTAGCGTGCACCTGTAATTCCAGCTACTCGGAAGGCTGAGGCGGAAGGATCACTGAAGCCCAGCAGGCAAGGCTGCTTTATAAATAAATAAATAAATAAATAAATAAAAATTTAAGCTTCTAAAAACGCAAGTCCTACGAATGGTTTGACTTACAAGAGACAATGCAATAGCCTAAACACACAAGTAAGCATGCAACATTAATTCTGCTAATCTAATGTCAGTACATCATAAAACTTAACAGAAACTGGAAAATCAAATCTTCATTAGTTTGCTAATGATCTATAAAGGTTTTCCAGTTTATTCAAAATTACTCAACACGTCTTCAATTTCTAGTTTTGTTTTTTTTTTGAGTTGGAGTCTCACTCTGTCGCCCAGACTGGAGTACAGTGGCCACTCCAGGCCACCACAGCCTCCACTTGCTGAATCTTCCGCCTCAGCCTTCCAGGTAGCTAGAATTACAGGTGCGCGCTACCACGCCCAGCTAATTTTTTTATTATTTATTGTAGAGATGAGGTCTTGCCAAGTTGCCCAGGCGGGTCTCAAACCGGCGGGCTCAGGCAATCCACTCACCTCAGCCTCCCAAAGTGCTGGAATTACAGGCTGAGCCACCGAGCCCCGCTTCTAGTAATTTTTTTAAAATACACAGTCTTGCATACACACCTTTCTACTTACAATCAAGGTGTTTCCAGACTTAACCACAGCAGTGGAATAAGATATATTATTATGCTAATTAGCTTTCCCTCCAGTTAACAGTCTGTGATCCCATCTGATTTCCCATAATATGGTATGATAATGAAGAGAACAAAGCAGTAACTACCATCAACTACCACCAATAATTTACTCAAGTATGTATTCCAAAACAGTACATAATTTACAACATGGCCTTGCTTAATATCCCTATTACAATGCATCTGTTTGGAGGACTTTTATAATATAAGCTGGGACACAAAACACACATTTCCAAATCTCCTTTCCTTCTGTTTTGCTGAAAGGGAGCACACATGCGATCCCTCAACAATCAGTGCTTCACTAACTTATTTTCTTCAGGCAGTAATTTAAATTCCCACTTCCTCCTAAATATCTCTGGACAGCAACTCCTGGCAATCCATCTGTCTCTTTCATCACAGCTTCTTTTCATAACTAACGGGTCAAGTTCCTTTCCCTCATTTCAACACGATGCACTGTACTGCAGCCCTGCCACCATAGCCCACTGCTGGATGCCGGAATATAACATATTGAATTTCACTGTCTTTCATTGTTTCCAGTTTAACTGCCATTTTGCCACCATGCACACAAGAGAAATGCGTTCCCACAGGCATCTTATGAATTTCCAAAGCAGCTATTCTTTGTGGATTTACAAAACATGTGCCTTCTCTGAATTCCCTGCATCACCACAAAAACGGCTTTGGGAAGCCGAGATTTTTTTTAAGTGCCCTTAGCAAAAAGAAACTGATTCTCAAACGTTTTTATTTTCCTAGCAAATTTGATTCTACGGATCTTCCCATAGGGCAGTGGAGGAACAGCCGGGCAAGGATTTTAAATACTGCTTCTGGTTTTCCCAACTAAAATAAAAATTGTTCAGCCCACAAAGATTTTTTGGTTATCAAATGATCAAAAGTCCTATCTTCTCAGGCTACACCGTAAGGGCTACCCAGCGCACAGCCAAAAAAACCCCCCAAAAACAAAAAACAGCTGTGGCCTGTGCACAACGCCCTAAATCTTCCTACGATCCCCCCCCTTGGGCTCAGAGACACACATAATCCCTCGGCAAACCCCAAACCTGCCAAGGAAGGGGACTATTTCTCTGCCACAAAGGCCGGCCTGCGCCTCGTGCACGGCGGCCTCTGCACACATGTGCCAGGCTGACAAGTGCGGAGCTGCCGTTCCAGGATCAAAGCTGGCGGCCTGGAACGAAAGCCACTCTCCCTCTCCCCAGACCGCTGCCTTCACTGCCCGGTGACAGGCGGCCGGCCGGGCCCCGCTGTGCTCCGGCCGCGGCTGGCACTCGCCCCCGGCCGCGCGGACAACCTCAAACCCCCTTCCCCTCCGCCCCACCGACCTTGGTCCTTCCCCCTCTTTCTCGCCTCAGGAAATTCCGTCGAAAGTTCGCTCGGCCCGAGCGGGGCAGCCCGGACACACCTTCCTCCTGCGGCCGCGCCCCCCGCGCCTCCACCCGGAGCGGCCGGCGACCCCGGCCCGCCCCAGCCCGGCGCCTCACCTCCTCCTCGCTCTCGCTGCGGAAACACAGACATGCGGCCCGCTTCTTGTAGCCGTCGCCGTCGTAGGTGCGGATCTGGTTCGACTTGAGCTTCATCATCCTCCGGGCCCGGGTGGGGGTGCGGTGCGGGTGGCGGGAGTCGAGGGGTGGGGAGCCCGCTCCGGACGGCCACG